AAACCAATTCTATCATCAATATTGCACTGTGGTATATTCTTTTTCTTTAAAATAACAAATTTTTATTAAATAAACATTTATTGAATTATCAAACCCGCGTTTTCAAGCCGCGTTGACAGACTATCCTCTTATGTGCCAAATGCATTTAAATACATTTTGAAATTTCGGAAAAGAAAGTTGATTATGTATTATCTTTGTAGTTTTATTATATTATTACGTGCATGTAAATTTATGTCATAATTAATTAAAATAACATTATCAGAAAAACATCGAACAAAATTTGTCCAAATTCTAAAATGAAAACATCTAAAGTTTGGACAACACTAGTTTTTTTGTATTAAAATATTTACATTTAATATTGAGAGCCGATAAAAATATTTCTCATTTAAAATATTTACTTCTTTGTCTGCCAGTATAAATTCTTTTAATTGTTCCGGACAGTGTCTTAACCATGAATCAAGCAGCAATAAATTTTTTTCTCCTTCGTATTTTGTCTTTATTTTATTCCTCAAGAACTAATTTCCGCAACATAATTTTATTATATATATGGTTGAATTTGGCATAACACATAAGCATTAAAATATATATAATTCAAAATTTTTCAAATTAAAAAAAAATATTGAGGGAGATATTTTGAAAAATTTTGTCATTTTTTTAAATTCAAACATACCTTTGTAAAGTACATTTAAAGCTATAAGACTTTTATTTGAACATTGAAATCTATTATATTTTTATTTGTTTAAAAAATATTCGCTTTGGAATGTAAAAACTAATCTTTTAACGGATGGTTGCACCTCTAAACTCATTTTTTAGGACTAACAAATAATGGTTTCGTTATTAGGATCTATTACGCTAAAATTATGACGAGTTTCGAATTTTTTTAAATTTTAACTTGCCGAACATTTCTTGTCTTCTTTAGCGCATGTGCACAGATATCTTTAATTACAAGTAATATTTAATTATTTTCACCAAAAAGCTTATATTTTCAATTTTAATCATATATAATAAAATTATATTTGTTTTCTTATTTCAAGAATAGTATACGTATGTGTGGGTATCATAATTTAACTAATGAGCTTCAAAAAAGTCTTGACTTTTAATTTTTCGAAGTAAGATATACAATATAAAATAAATGATTTATTCAATTTAAACTAACACGTTGCAGATGGTATCAAAGTTTATCGGATACAATACCAATTTTGAATATTTAATCAAAATAGATACGATGACACAAGAATATTTTAATGCTGCAATACGAAGTAGAATATATAATATAAAATTAATTATTTATTTAATTTAAATTAACATGTTGCACGTGATGTCAAAGTTTATAAGAAACAATACAAATTTTGAATATTTAAGTAAGATCAAAATAGATACAATGACACCAAAATATTTTTATAAACGCATTTCATTGTTGCAAGAAAATAAATTTAAAATTTAAAACGTATTTTTTGATTAAATTATAATATGTAAGATTACTATATTTTTATAATGCACTAAGAAATTGTATACGTATATAAAATATATATCTTTTTATATTTAAATTTTACTGATCAAATTTTTAAAGAAGTGTAATGTCTGCTTGAAATTTAATGGCTAAATTGTTTCTTGATGTTTTTACTAAACATTTTCCAACCATGAATATAATACTTCCATCTCTAATACTTAAGAACAATAAGACTTTCATAAATCTAAAAACACTGTATACAACAGTATAGAAACATTCAGCTATCGACAATACCCACAAAACAATTTGATATAATGATATATCGTATACATTTATGTATGTTGCATATACATATGTATTACAGCATACATCCAATGTATATGTAATGTAAATACAAATGTAACCCCGCGTATGTACATGGAACATTGTAAAAATCTACATATATATATGATAAACACATATTCCATGTATATATTTGATGTATGTATATTTAATTTTTATTCATTGCATGTGCATAGGATATAAAAAAATGCGCATAAAATGTACATAATACGTACATAGCATGTACAATATAATATGTACACAAGATTACATGACACAAGATGTATATTTAATTTTTATTTATAGCATGTACAATATAATATGTACACAAGATGTACATGACACAAGATGTACATGTATATTTAATTTTTATTCATTGCATATACATAAGATATAAAAAAATGTGCATAAAGTGTACATAATATGTACATAGCATGTACAATATAATATGTACACAAGATGTACATGACACATGTATAGGTTGTACATAAAATCCACATAATATATGCATAGCATGTATACAGAGTGTCTTAAGTGGTGGGCAAAATTTCCACATAATACGTGCATAGCACGTATACAGAGTGTCTTAACTGCTGGGTAATATTTAAGGAATGGATTCCTCATGTTTAAAGATGAAAAAAAGGTTATATTAACATAAAAAATCCGGAAGATTAGTTTTTGAGCTATTAATATTCTTGTAATACAAAATTTTTGTCTCAATTCTCGTCTTACAATTATAGGAAATGTTCAATATGTCCACCTCCTGTAAACATAGGCCGGTGAACTTAAAAAACATCGTTGCCTTTAAACGGACTTCTAAGACGAGAAATGGGACAAAAAATTTGTTTTATAAACATCTTAATAACTTAAAAAATCATCACTTCCGAACCTTTTATGTCGATATAATTTTTTTTCTTCTCTAAGCATGAGAAATCCATCTTCGAAATTTTACCCACCACTTAAAACACTCTATATTTTGTATATAATACCCACACGAAAAATCTCTAATGGATGTTCAGTAGACATCCATTATGGAGATTCGAAATCTTTATTCTACATTCTATGAGAATAAAGATAGAATGATGTTTGTGTCGACTTGTGTTGCTAAATGGAAAGCACCTATCTCTAATCTGGGCAGTCGCTTTTTGTTATATATAATTCTCATGACTAAATCTTAAATCTTAAATGTACATCTTAAGCAGAGAGAAACCTGAGAGGGGCCACGCTGCCGTTTCTCGTGAGACGGCTTTCCTAGCTGGTACAGTGGCATTAACTGGATCCATAATTGAGCCAGCAGAACTACATAGTCAGATCCATTTTTCGCTGCCACAATGAAACGAACGATTGGTGTATGTCCGTAAGCCACGATCCATTATTGTGAATCTATATGTAAGTTCTCCACAAAAATATAGAGTAATAGGTTTATATTAATACATATGCATATATTCATTTCTAAAAAAGGCATGTTATTTATTTATCGATGTCTCGAAAATCTTGAAGTGTATTTTTGCCTATTTGACACTCTCAATTTATATTTATATTTATATTACAGAGCCTTGTTAAATTCTTAATTTGTACACGCTGGCTTAAAGGCGTTTGTTTATCAACATTATTATATATATAGCAGAGAAAAGTATAGAATCGAAGGGATCTGAATAGCTCAGTTGGAAGAGCAGTCACCCGGCAAGCGAAAAGTCTCGAGTTCGATTCTTGATTCAGCAACTTTCAGATCTATATTTTTCTCTCGTATTTATTTCCTTAAGGGGGGAACAGGGGATTATCCCGTACGGAAAGAAACTATTGAAATGCTAATAGTAACTATTAGGATGATAATAGTAACTATTAAACGCCAATAGTTACAAGCAGTAATTACTACTGCAATAATTATTGCAACACTAGTAATAATTATTGCAACACTAGTGTCCACTACACAATTATTAATTATTACCAATGTGAATTATTAGAATGTAATAGTGCGTACTATTGAAATATCACTAGTACAAAGATTTAACAGTATACACTGCTATCATACCAATCATTGAATAGTGTGAACTAATAGTGTGCACAAGTTTGCAATATTAAACCAACTAATAGTGCACATTCTGTATAGTGTATACAGTTGAACATTTCGTCCTACCTTATTAGTAATGAGAGTATTACTAATAATGTGCACTAAATTGCATATTTTAATCAGTGCGTCGTAACAAAAAAAATGTTTTAAAGGTAAAAGAAGAGGTTAATAACAAAAAAATTATATATATAAATAATAATCTTTTTTAATTTATATTTATATATATATATATATATAATTGCAATTATTACATATATTTTATATGTATATACATATATATATATATATATATATATATATATATATCTTATAATATATATCAAAATGTATATATATTAATCACGTTCAATATTATTTACGAGGCGCACAATGCAATACTTATTATCTACATTATTGTATGGAATTTTTACACATTTGGCATATAACATGTCAGGAAAGACAGCGATGAGAGAATCAGTCATGCGAGTAATGTGAAAAAAACGATTCGATGAAAGTATTGGATTGTTTGATTTACAAATTTCCATATCAATAATAGGATTAAGAATCTTTCCAATAATAACGCATCGTACATAATTTGTCCGCACAATACGAACATTAAAAATGCCGGTTATTATTATAAACATACCATTCTGTAGCAATACTGTACTGTTTTGTCGTCTTTGAAGTTTTTCATAGTTCTCGACATGCCACAATACATTTCGAAAAATGAAACGTTTGTAACAATCACACTCGTTTAATATATTTTCATGTAAAAGAGCTTCTATACAAGTTTGCTCCATTAATGTTAACATTTTTTGAACCAGTTTTCCAAATATTTTAAAATAAGGTTCATATTCTAGATAATTTTTTAAATGATACATTTCACTCATTTTATAATATAAAATTTTTGCATTTTCGAAACAATCGGGTCTTGAAAATACTTTCAAACATGAATTTTCAATGCGCTTTGATCTCATATATAATTTGCATATCTGTTCCGGAACAGCTTGCGAATTTCGAAACATTTTCCTTAATACTCCGTTATAATGTTCATAAGGAAACGTAGATGTAGCCCATAGAGCCCCAAATTGTTTAACAAACTTTGGGATATGTAATAACAAATGTACATTAAACTTGTAATATTCTAAGCCATATAGATTTTCTATTTTAAACACAAACATTTTCAATGCATTTTTAGCCGTCGAAAAATCTACGCCATTGATTTTTTCTTGTAGAAATATGTGCATGCTACAGATAAAAAGAAACCAGTGTCTTACATATTGTAAAGGCATTACGTTTTGTAGACAAATAAGAGAGTAATAGAGCAAGAAGTTCTTCCATTCTGATGCCTTCCATAAATTTCTTTCATTAATAGATCTGGGCGTACGAGTAATTTCACACGGTGGTTTTATTTGCAACAGCTTCTCGTCAATAAGATCTACTTTGTTTCCTATATACCAGTTTTTTTCGTGATTTGACGAGTTAAACCAAGCATCCGTAAAAGTTTTTGTAACTTCCAATAAAACAGAATGCATATAATCAGGTGTAAACGAAGATGTAATATCAAAGACCGGTAGTAGCATTAAAACTGTTGGTCCTTTCACACCGTGAGGTGTAGTTCCAGTTTGCACAGCAATTTCACAATCTACTTCATGTTGATGCAATGTGCGCGGTTCCTTTACGTAACCAGGATATACTCTTGTCATTCCTTTACCGACTTCAATGTGAATACCTTCATGCAGGCAAAAGCTGCAACCAAAACTTCCATTATATTGTTTTATATTTTGTAATAAAGGTCGCGCGACAGAATCTACAGGAGACGCGATTGTGTGTACTCTAATATGAATTTCTTCTTCGCCTGGCACGTTACGTGTAATGCCTACTTCATGCAATGAGATCAATTCCTCGACGAGTAAAGATAAAAACAAATTCATATCAGGTTTTTCTTTACCATACCACAAACCACACAACATCATATTTTTTCTCCTTTCTCTATACGGCAATTCATTTATCATCACCTGTATAGGCCACATAGATACAGACGATGAATGAAACACTTGAACTCCGTCAGAACTGATCTGCAGCGTGATATCATGTAATTGAATTATCCCAGAATCTTTTAAAGATGTATACACTTGTCCAGAAGTTATATCAGAATAATTATCGTTTCCTTTTTGAAGCAAAGCATATTTGTCGCTGTTTACAAAGTCGCGCAACTGCTGTTTTAAAGGTAAATATAGGAAATAGTTACCACTTTTTCTCAACGTATGTTTATCATATCTACATTGGCACTCTTGGCAAACAAGGTTTTCTTTTGCTCTATCATCTGCACTAGTTTTCAATCTTACATAACACTCTGGACAATAATAGCATTTACGAATTGATGCTGGAATATCATATTTCTTCATAAATATATACTTCGTGTGGTATACTGAGTATGGTAGGTGACAGTTTATCAAAGTGATGAGGTCCTCAAGAGCAACATCAGTTAGATTGTGTCGTATCGCAAAGTTTAATATGAGGAGTTCACTTTCTATCTTGGATATATTCGATTGTTCATATAATGGGACTCGTTCCTGTAAATTGAATATGGATTCGATTATTATTTTTTTATATTTGAAGTTATTCTTAAATGTAAGTAATTAAGATCTATAGCGCACACATAATTTTTTAGAGAGTCTGAATATATCTATCCTTGACATCTTTTGATGCAATTTGTGACAGATTTTTTACTGCAAAGCTTTATTTACATCAGAAAAATTTATCTCAATTAAAATAACTCATCTCAATTTACTCGAATCCTGTACCTGATCATTGTTCTCTGGTGGCACAAATGCTACATTCTCTGCAGACTCATCTAAGAATTCATCATAGTCTTGAACTATATCTTCTTCCAAATCCGATGCGTCATCATTGGCGATCACAACATCAGATTCGCTCGAACATGCTGAGATCTCATCCGAAAGATTGAAATTTGATTCAATGATTACACTCACTGTATCATTCTTATTTTCTGGATTGCCAGATATTGGACCATTTATATTTGAATCACTATCTTCCGAAATGTCTTCAGCAGCAATGGTATGTGTGTTGTCATTAGAACTCACAAATGGTTGTCTCGATATCATAGAATCATCAACATTAATTTCTTGTTCCTAAATAAATAAAGAAATATACATTCTATTGCAAATAAATAAGAATTAAAGGATTTTTTAATATATTATAAATAATACATATATTTATAATTTCTCTTTCCTTTACATTTTATAATATACTGACCTGTTGTAATGGCATCTGTTCTCGTCGTCTACGAGAACGAATTGTTGATTCGGGCACTGGTACATCGTCATCTTGTAAATATCGTTTATAACATCCTCTTCTAATCAATATATTATTCTCATCCATTTTTACGTACAATTACACACGAATATATACATATGGAGATGAGTTCAAAAATGATGTACAAAAGCTATTATTTATATGAAACAAAATCATTCTTAAGCCTAGTATAAATATTATTTATAATATATTAAAAATTATACCTCTTAAACGTCTTTTTATATGAATCTTTTTCTGCGGAACACACTGGAACTACACTTTATACTATATCATTTATCTTTGATACTATAGAATTTTACACCAATTAATTATTAGTCGCGTAATAAAATATTTCTGCTGATGATTCAAATTGATGCACTAACCAAAAACGAGCATGTGTCATTCTCGCGCATATATATGCGCGGCCATATAATGACTGCCGTTTTTTATTTATTTATTTATGTATATATACATACACATATATTCTTTTTTAAGGCATTGCGCACAATAGAGAAAATATATATTAGAAATAAATATTAAATATTAGGAATAAAAATTATTTTAAAATAATAAATCGAAAAGACTGTGCGTGTGATATATAAAATACAAATTCGCGAATATAATTAAAAGACTAATAAAAGGAGTCTTTAATAAATTAGTAATAAATAGAGCCCTTTTATATTCGAATTTGATGAAATTATATATCAGAGTTTTTCAATTTTATTATTTTAAAATAATTCTTAATTTCTTCCTAATATTTAATATTTATTCTTAACATTTTCTCTATTGTACATATATATACATACTTCATTGAAGCTACGTTCGCCGCGCATGCACGAAAAAAATCCGGTGCGCGCGACAAAAAGTGATGCAGTGGCATTTGTTTTCGGCTTACATCGATTTTGCTTTAGGTAAGTAAGAAATCTTCGATGTAATTTATACGACATAAATGTGTAGAACAGGTTATTTTTTGAATGTATAATCACCAAGAGTATATCTTTTCAGTTTCTTTCCTCACATATACATATATTTGAGTTATGAATTATCATAATTTAATAAATGCAATCGTTGTATTAAAGTCAATTAACCTATACATATTACATTTGACAAAATAATTATTTCAATATTTCATAATTAATTTATTTTATCATTATATGATTAATTATTTCGTGTATAGATAATGGACGACCAAAGATATATGGTGTGCGAGTTTCCAAATGAAGAAGATAGCATATCTATTGGATATTTAGAATGGCTGGAAAATAAATTCACAAACATTGAATTAGATGATGTAATTAAACGCGGGACGATAGTGAAAGTTCGATGGCCAAAAGACTGTGATGTGGGCCCTGTAGCAACAACAATGAAAAAAAAATTGGCCAATTGTCAATGGGAGGTGGTTGCAACAAAATTACGGGCATATAGAGGTAAGCGCGCATCAATAATATTGAATAAAAATAGTTTTATAAAATTTTAGATAAGAGCTTAGGAAGAGAGATATGAGATAACACTTTATTGAAATTTTAGGATGGATTAAAATGTGTGAGATCAGAGACAATTTAGAAAAGTATGGTATCACTGAACTTGACAGAAGTAATAGAAAACAGTTCACGAGTAAAAATAACCATACAGAATGTGATAGTAATGATGAATCAGGAGTAAAAGAAACAAAAAAGGATGCGAAACAAAAGGTATAACATACATAATTATATAGATATAAATCATGATTTTAAAAATCGCATGCTATAAAAATAAATTTATACTATTGAATAAGAGAGTATAACGATTTTTTATTTATAGAAATGTATTCTAAATGTAAAAAAAGGAAAAGAACTTTTAAAACAATACAAACACAAAAAGCAGAAAAATTCGTCACAGGTATTTTTTTAATGTGCGTGCGTGCGTGCGTGCGTGCGTGCGTGCGTGCGTGTGTGTGTGTGTGTGTGTGTGTGTGTGTGTGTGTGTGTGTGTGTGTGTGTGTGTGTGTGTGTGTGAATGTATATAATGTGTTCTTTAGATTTTTCCTTTTGAAACGTGACAAAATAGGTTGATATATAATTTATACCATATTATAGAATAAATCGATAGATATCAGCGACGACGAATCTGGTGAAGAAAACGAAAAATCTCTCATTCATAAACAATCAAAGTCACAATTAAAATATACAGTCATTGTATTAAATGAGGAAAACAAAAGATTACGAAGAGACAATGAAAGACTGCGCAAATTACGATCTGTCAACGAAGGTATTTTTGTTGAATATTTTCCTCTTAATAATCCTCAGAAATCAAATTAAATATTCCGTTATGAAATAAAGTCAAATGATTAAAGAAAATTAATTAGAATTATATTATATTATTATTATTAATAATTATATTATTATTATTCAGAGTATTTCAATTTGTTTACTACTCAGTATAGCTCAAATTGCATTACTACAGATAAACTTTAATTTTTATCTCGATAGTTTTTTTTAAATAATTGTCGAATTATTGCATTTATCAGCAATTCACCAAATAAATAGACAGATTTCTAAACAACGAGTGCAAACGTTAATCATTTCTTTACAAATACATTTCTTTATATGCTACTTTTTCGAGCGTTTTTCAATTTTGTTAGTACAATTCTTAATACAATCACACCGTTATGTATTTTTTTAGATTTGCCAAAGATAGATAAATTTATGAAAGATGTTACGGCCGACTTGCAATGTGCTTCATGGAAAACCGAATTTCTCAATAATCAGATTGATAAACTGCAACAGGTATATATTATGTAATTTTGACTTTTATTTGCATTAAATCGTATATTTGTAAATATATTGTAATATGAAACGATATATGCTTATTTGTTTTGTAGAAAGTACAAGCAATAAGTAACTGCATTATTGAACGTGAGCAAGATTATACTCCGCCTCCAGCAATGACACTAGAGTCTGATCCGATCTGGATCAACAATAAGTTGGATCTACCAAACAATAAGTTAAAATCATTTCGAAATCAAATCGATGTATCGCCTGCAACATTGATAGTGCAAAATAACGAGTTAGAGCCAATTGTAAGTAGCGATAAGTTAATACGAGTAAAATCGTCTCAAAGATCGGATACAGATGAGTTTCGTGAATCAACATCCTCACGTGAGTCGAAACCTTCGACATCCGGACATATTCTACCGCAAAATTATAACCGAGAATCATCACCGGAAGATTTCTTTGATACTCATCCAGACGTTAGAAATAAAAATATAAAAGTAGTCAACACACATGAATTGGAAAACGTACACGAATCGAATGCAGTAGATAAAATAAAGCCTGCGGATAAGCATCAATCAATCGCAGTACGCAAGCCTAAAAATTATTTCAATTATTTTATAATGCGCTATTTAATATAGAAGTTAATATTTTTAGAATTTCGATTGAAATTTTGATTTTTAAGTGTATAGTATAAATATATTAATTGGTTGGTTTTCAATTTTTATCTGATGCAATTTTGCGATGAATATGAATATCATTACATTTTATAATTATTTAAAAGTTATTTTATCATATTTTTTGTACAAAATCACAGGAAAAAACAGTCGACCTGGGAGGACCAGAACTTTGTGTGGTGAATGCTACTCGTCTTTCTTTGTGCAATCACACATCTGCCTCTAAATTGATATGCGAGATGATGTCATTGTTATTTTCAAAAGAAGAGTTGGCTACTTCCTCGCTTACAGGAACTGTGGCAAATTTTCATTGCGAAAAAGGTGTAGCCGCTAAAAAGAAACTCGATACGGTGAAAATTGAAGCTATGAAAAGTATGTGATCATAATTTGTGCGATGAAGTATTGATTTCGCATAGGCAACCGATAAATACATGTATATATGTGCTTTCAGCATACGTTAAGAACAAATTTTCATCAGAAAAAGATTTTGATAAAATATTCCGGAAAGCAGTGCAACAGAAGTGCAATAATGCAGTTCCTCGAAATAGAGGGCCAAATAATAAAGGAGATGAAATTAAGAAGTAAGCCAGCTATGTCAAAGCGAAGAAAAAACAAAGAATGATTAATCTAAAATTATTATATTATTATTATTAGAACTATTATTTTTATTTTTAAAATTACTATTATTATTATTATTATTAATTCGTATTAATTATTTATTAAAATTATTATTATTCTCTTTATCTATAAAATTATTCTACTAAAATATATTATTTTTCAATATTTATAATTATTAACATGATATTTTTATTTGAATTTAATTATGCGAATAAAAATACAACTAGTAATTAATGTAAAATAAATAATCAGTGTTGCTTTATTTCTATATAGCAATGTATATATATATAATGTATATATATAATGTATATATATACCAGTACATCACACCGTCCAGATAAGTTTGGAAACACCTAAAGTTTTAGAGTATTTAGAGACAGATAAAGCATAATCGCATGGCAGTGATATCGGCGCAGATTTTTGGTATATGGACATATCGTGTAAGACGTTTAAATGACGATATATTTCCATTTAGAACGTCTTACAATATATTTATATCAAAAATCTGCGCAGATCGCTGCCATGCGACTGTTATTTATATCTGTAAAACGTGAGATGTTTCCAAACTTATTATATGGAGGGTATATCGTATATGTATATATATATTGCGGGGAGATTATATATATACATATATACATACATACATATATATACAAATATATATATATATATAATCTCCCCGAATACATACCTTACCCAGTACGTAATAGTGCGGATGTAAAACTACTACTGCGGATGTAAAACTACTAGTGCAGATGTAATACTAGTAGTGCGGATATAACACTACTAGTTCGGATGTAACACTACTAGTGTGGATGTAACACTACTAGTGCAAATTTCAATAGTGCGCGAAATTACTATTGATCTAGTGTGCACTAATAGTTCTATAGTTTTCAATTCAATAGTTTCTTTCCGTACGGGAAGACTCTTTTAAAATAGTTCCATTTGAATTTTATTAAAAATAAAAAGTTATACTTTTATGAAATCCTTTTTGAATTACTGAAAAAAAGTCTTTTGAATTTATATGGTATAAATTTTGATAAATCATAAATAATTTCAAAAACTGAATTCTTTTTGAGTTAATAATGATCACGTGTGTTATCTGGATTGGGAATTCAAATTATGTACATAACAGAAATTCAAGAATTAAAATTAAGTATTTCTATTACTATAATGTATATAATTTTAATGCAACTCTTATTTGTATTTTTTTATTAACTGAAAAACCACTGAATAACAAAATTAATAAATAACAATTATACACTAAATTTATACACAAAAAAACACTATTATACACAAAATTATACACAAATCAATATAATGCATAACTTTCAATACACTAATTTCTCGATACGTACAACTGTCAAAATATGCAATGACAAAGGCTCACGAAGTAAACGCAACGATAGAACCAATCGGCTTCGCGGATTAAAGACAAAAATATAAATATAAATTGAGAGTGTCAAACAGGCAATAAGAGCCAAATCGCGGATGACAGTGCGTTATCCCAACGAAACTAAATTTTTTCGTTAGAATTTCAAAATCTGTGCACAAGGCACTAAATTTTACTTGGTCTCGGCCAAGATTTAAAATTGGAATAATCTCTACATGAGATTTAATTCCATCCCGTACGGAAAGAAACTATTGAATTGAAAATTATAGAACTATTAGTGCACACTAGATCAATAGTAATTTCGCGCACTATTGAAATTTGCACTAGTAGTGTTACATCCACACTAGTAGTGTTACATCCGCACTAGTAGTGTTATATCCGCACTACTAGTATTACATCTGCACTAGTAGTTTTACATCCGCAGTAGTAGTTTTACATCCGCACTATTACGTACTTGGTAAGGTATGTATTCGGGGAGATTATATATATATACAGGGTGTTCGGGAACTCCGGTGCCAACCGTTGAGGGGTTGTAGGGTAGGTGAAAAGATGATGATTTTTCCTCAGCAAAAATGTTGAGAAGTCAATAATTTTCGAGTTATAAGCGATTGAAAAAAATGGGTTTTTTGAAAACTAAACGTTTTGGAGTTCAAAGTCTAACATAATTACATTCTTCAGTTAATTTCAGGTAGAGTTTACTATAATACAATTTTAATTTGAGGCTTAGTTATAAAGATACATAATGACAAATATTGGAAAGTTGTAAAAAATGATGACCTTTTTTGACATTTTCGCTGAGGAAAAATCGTTCCCAAATTGACCAAAGAATCCATTTGTGATCGTTGGTCCGTTAGTTACCGAACACCCTGTATATATTTGTATATATATGTATGTATGTATATATGTATATATATAATCTCCCCGCAATATATATATACATATACGATATACCCTCCATATAATAAGTTTGGAAACATCTCACGTTTTACAGATATAAATAACAGTCGCATGGCAGCGATCTGCGCAGATTTTTGATATAAATATATTGTAAGACGTTCTAAATGGAAATATATCGTCATTTAAACGTCTTACACGATATGTCCATATACCAAAAATCTGCGCCGATATCACTGCCATGCGATTATGCTTTATCTGTCTCTAAATACTCTAAAACTTTAGGTGTTTCCAAACTTATCTGGACGGTGTGATGTACTGGTATATATATACATTATATATATACATTATATATATATACATTGCTATATAGAAATAAAGCAACACTGATTATTTATTTTACATTAATTACTAGTTGTATTTTTATTCGCATAATTAAATTCAAATAATAATATCATGTTAATAATTATAAATATAAATTTAACGTATAAGACGGGCAACAAGAGCCAAATCGCGGATGACAATGCGTTATCCTAACGAAACTAAATAATTTTCCGTTAGAATTAAATACCGGTGCACAAGGCACCAAATTTTACTTGGACACGGCCAAGATTTTAAAATATGAAATAATCTCATATTTGAGATTTAATTTCAATACCCCCTTTAACCCCCCCCCCCCACGGAAAATAAATAAATGAATGCAAGAGAAAAATATAGATCCGAAAATCGCTGAATCGGGAATCGAACCCGAGACCTTTCGCTTGCCGGGCGACTGCTCTTCCAGCTGAGCTATTCAGATCCTTTCGATTCTATACTTTTCTCTGTTATATATATTAATGTTGGTAAACAAACGCATTTTTAAGCCAGCGTGTATCAATATAAGAGTTTTAACAAGGCTCCGTAATATAAATATAAATTTAACGTATAAGACGGGCAACAAGAGCCAAATCGCGGATGACAATGCGTTATCCTAACGAAACTAAATAATTTTCCGTTAGAATTAAATACCGGTGCACAAGGCACCAAATTTTACTTGGACACGGCCAAGATTTTAAAATATGAAATAATCTCATATTTGAGATTTAATTTCAATACCCCCTTTAACCCCCCCCCCCCCACGGAAAATAAATAAATGAATGCAAGAGAAAAATATAGATCCGAAAATCGCTGAATCGGGAATCGAACCCGAGACCTTTCGCTTGCCGGGCGACTGCTCTTCCAGCTGAGCTATTCAGATCCTTTCGATTCTATACTTTTCTCTGTTATATATATTAATGTTGGTAAACAAACGCATTTTTAAGCCAGCGTGTATCAATATAAGAGTTTTAACAAGGCTCCGTAATATAAATATAAATTTAACGTATAAGACGGGCAACAAGAGCCAAATCGCGGATGACAATGCGTTATCCTAACGAAACTAAATAATTTTCCGTTAGAATTAAATACCGGTGCACAAGGCACCAAATTTTACTTGGACACGGCCAAGATTTTAAAATATGAAATAATCTCATATTTGAGATTTAATTTCAATACCCCCTTTAACCCCCCCCCCCCACGGAAAATAAATAAATGAATGCAAGAGAAAAATATAGATCCGAAAATCGCTGAATCGGGAATCGAACCCGAGACCTTTCGCTTGCCGGGCGACTGCTCTTCCAGCTGAGCTATTCAGATCCTTTCGATTCTATACTTTTCTCTGTTATATATATTAATGTTGGTAAACAAACGCATTTTTAAGCCAGCGTGTATCAATATAAGAGTTTTAACAAGGCTCCGTAATATAAATATAAATTTAACGTATAAGACGGGCAACAAGAGCAAATTTAATTCTAACGGAAAATTATTTAGTTTCGTTAGGATAACGCATTGTCATCCGCGATTTGGCTCTTGTTGCCCGTCTTATACGTTAAATTTATATTTATATTACGGAGCCTTGTTAAAACTCTTATATTGATACACGCTGGCTTAAAAATGCGTTTGTTTACCAACATTAATATATATAACAGAGAAAAGTATAGAATCGAAAGGATCTGAATAGCTCAGCTGGAATAGCAGTCGCCCGGCAAGCGAAAGGTCTCGGGTTCGATTCCCGATTCAGCGATTTTCGGATCTATATTTTTCTCTTGCATTCATTTATTTATTTTCCGTGGGGGGGGGGGGTTAAAGAGGGTATTGAAATTAAATCTCAAATATGAGATTATTTCATATTTTAAAATCTTGGCCGTGTCCAAGTAAAATTTGGTGCCTTGTGCACCGGTATTTAATTCTAACGGAAAATTATTTAGTTTCGTTAGGATAACGCATTGTCATCCGCGATTTGGCTCTTGTTGCCCGTCTTATACGTTAAATTTATATTTATATTACGGAGCCTTGTTAAAACTCTTATATTGATACACGCTGGCTTAAAAATGCGTTTGTTTACCAACATTAATATATATAACAGAGAAAAGTATAGAATCGAAAGGATCTGAATAGCTCAGCTGGAAGAGCAGTCGCCCGGCAAGCGAAAGGTCTCGGGTTCGATTCCCGATTCAGCGATTTTCGGATCTATATTTTTCTCTTGCATTCATTTATTTATTTTCCGTGGGGGGGGGGGGGGGTTAAAGGGGGTATTGAAATTAAATCTCAAATATGAGATTATTTCATATTTTAAAATCTTGGCCGTGTCCAAGTAAAATTTGGTGCCTTGTGCACCGGTATTTAATTCTAACGGAAAATTATTTAGTTTCGTTAGGATAACGCATTGTCATCCGCGATTTGGCTCTTGTTGCCCGTCTTATACGTTAAATTTATATTTATATTACGGAGCCTTGTTAAAACTCTTATATTAATAATTATAAATATTGAAAAATAATATATTTTAGTAGAATAATTTTATAGATAAAGAGAATAATAATAATTTTAATAAATAATTAATACGAATTAATAATAATAATATAATAATAGTAATTTTAAAAATAAAAATAATAGTTCTAATAATAATAATATAATAATTTTAGATTAATCATTCTTTGTTTTTTCTTCGCTTTGACATAGCTGGCTTACTTCTTAATTTCATCTCCTTTATTATTTGGCCCTCTATTTCGAGGAACTGCATTATTGCACTTCTGTTGCACTGCTTTCCGGAATATTTTATCAAAATCTTTTTCTGATGAAAATTTGTTCTTAACGTATGCTGAAAGCACATATATACATGTATTTATCGGTTGCCTATGCGAAATCAATACTTCATCGCACAAATTATGATCACATACTTTTCATAGCTTCAATTTTCACCGTATCGAGTTTCTTTTTAGCGGCTACACCTTTTTCGCAATGAAAATTTGCCACAGTTCCTGTAAGCGAGGAAGTAGCCAACTCTTCTTTTGAAAATAACAATGACATCATCTCGCATATCAATTTAGAGGCAGATGTGTGATTGCACAAAGAAAGACGAGTAGCATTCACCACACAAAGTTCTGGTCCTCCCAGGTCGACTGTTTTTTCCTGTGATTTTGTACAAAAAATATGATAAAATAACTTTTAAATAATTATAAAATGTAATGATATTCATATTCATCGCAAAATTGCATCAGATAAAAATTGAAAACCAACCAATTAATATATTTATACTATACACTTAAAAATCAAAATTTCAATCGAAATTCTAAAAATATTAACTTCTATATTAAATAGCGCATTATAAAATAATTGAAATAATTTTTAGGCTTGCGTACTGCGATTGATTGATGCTTATCCGCAGGCTTTATTTTATCTACTGCATTCGATTCGTGTACGTTTTCCAATTCATGTGTGTTGACTACTTTTATATTTTTATTTCTAACGTCTGGATGAGTATCAAAGAAATCTTCCGGTGATGATTCTCGGTTATAATTTTGCGGTAGAATATGTCCGGATGTCGAAGGTTTCGACTCACGTGAGGACGTTGATTCACGAAACTCATCTGTATCCGATCTTTGAGACGATTTTACTCGTATTAACTTATCGCTACTTACAATTGGCTCTAACTCGTTATTTTGCACTATCAATGTTGCAGGCGATACATCGATTTGATTTCGAAATGATTTTAACTTATTGTTTGGTAGATCCAACTTATTGTTGATCCAGATCGGATCAGACTCTAGTGTCATTGCTGGAGGCGGAGTATAATCTTGCTCACGTTCAATAATGCAGTTACTTATTGCTTGTACTTTCTACAAAACAAATAAGCATATATCGTTTCATATTACAATATATTTACAAATATACGATTTAATGCAAATAAAAGTCAAAATTACATAATATATACCTGTTGCAGTTTATCAATCTGATTATTGAGAAATTCGGTTTTCCATGAAGCACATTGCAAGTCGGCCGTAACATCTTTCATAAATTTATCTATCTTTGGCAAATCTAAAAAAATACATAACGGTGTGATTGTATTAAGAATTGTACTAACAAAATTGAAAAACGCTCGAAAAAGTAGCATATAAAGAAATGTATTTGTAAAGAAATGATTAACGTTTGCACTCGTTGTTTAGAAATCTGTCTATTTATTTGGTGAATTGCTGATAAATGCAATAATTCGACAATTATTTAAAAAAAACTATCGAGATAAAAATTAAAGTTTATCTGTAGTAATGCAATTTGAGTTATACTGAGTAGTAAACAAATTGAAATACTCTGAATAATAATAATATAATTATTAATAATAATAATATAATATAATTCTAATTAATTTTCTTTAATCATTTGACTTTATTTCATAACGGAATATTTAATTTGATTTCTGAGGATTATTAAGAGGAAAATATTCAACAAGAATACCTTCGTTGACAGATCGTAATTTGCGCAGTCTTTCATTGTCTCTTCGTAATCTTTTGTTTTCCTCATTTAATACAATGACTGTATATTTTAATTGTGACTTTGATTGTTTATGAATGAGAGATTTTTCGTTTTCTTCACCAGATTCGTCGTCGCTGATATCTATCGATTTATTCTATAATATGGTATAAATTATATATCAACCTATTTTGTCACGTTTCAAAAGGAAAAATCTAAAGAACACATTATATACATTCACACACACACACACACACACACACACACACACACACACACACACACACACACACACACACACGCACGCACGCACGCACGCACGCACGCACGCACGCACGCACATTAAAAAAATACCTGTGACGAATTTTTCTGCTTTTTGTGTTTGTATTGTTTTAAAAGTTCTTTTCCTTTTTTTACATTTAGAATACATTTCTATAAATAAAAAATCGTTATACTCTCTTATTCAATAGTATAAATTTATTTTTATAGCATGCGATTTTTAAAATCATGATTTATATCTATATAATTATGTATGTTATACCTTTTGTTTCGCATCCTTTTTTGTTTCTTTTACTCCTGATTCATCATTACTATCACATTCTGTATGGTTATTTTTACTCGTGAACTGTTTTCTATTACTTCTGTCAAGTTCAGTGATACCATACTTTTCTAAATTGTCTCTGATCTCACACATTTTAATCCATCCTAAAATTTCAATAAAGTGTTATCTCATATCTCTCTTCCTAAGCTCTTATCTAAAATTTTATAAAACTATTTTTATTCAATATTATTGATGCGCGCTTACCTCTATATGCCCGTAATTTTGTTGCAACCACCTCCCATTGACAATTGGCCAATTTTTTTTCATTGTTGTTGCTACAGGGCCCACATCACAGTCTTTTGGCCATCGAACTTTCACTATCGTCCCGCGTTTAATTACATCATCTAATTCAATGTTTGTGAATTTATTTTCCAGCCATTCTAAATATCCAATAGATATGCTATCTTCTTCATTTGGAAACTCGCACACCATATATCTTTGGTCGTCCATTATCTATACACGAAATAATTAATCATATAATGATAAAATAAATTAATTATGAAATATTGAAATAATTATTTTGTCAAATGTAATATGTATAGGTTAATTGACTTTAATACAACGATTGCATTTATTAAATTATGATAATTCATAACTCAAATATATGTATATGTGAGGAAAGAAACTGAAAAGATATACTCTTGGTGATTATACATTCAAAAAATAACCTGTTCTACACATTTATGTCGTATAAATTACATCGAAGATTTCTTACTTACCTAAAGCAAAATCGATGTAAGCCGAAAACAAATGCCACTGCATCACTTTTTGTCGCGCGCACCGGATTTTTTTCGTGCATGCGCGGCGAACGTAGCTTCAATGAAGTATGTATATATATGTACAATAGAGAAAATGTTAAGAATAAATATTAAATATTAGGAAGAAATTAAGAATTATTTTAAAATAATAAAATTGAAAAACTCTGATATATAATTTCATCAAATTCGAATATAAAAGGGCTCTATTTATTACTAATTTATTAAAGACTCCTTTTATTAGTCTTTTAATTATATTCGCGAATTTGTATTTTATATATCACACGCACAGTCTTTTCGATTTATTATTTTAAAATAATTTTTATTCCTAATATTTAATATTTATTTCTAATATATATTTTCTCTATTGTGCGCAATGCCTTAAAAAAGAATATATGTGTATGTATATATACATAAATAAATAAATAAAAAACGGCAGTCATTATATGGCCGCGCATATATATGCGCGAGAATGACACATGCTCGTTTTTGGTTAGTGCATCAATTTGAATCATCAGCAGAAATATTTTATTACGCGACTAATAATTAATTGGTGTAAAATTCTATAGTATCAAAGATAAATGATATAGTATAAAGTGTAGTTCCAGTGTGTTCCGCAGAAAAAGATTCATATAAAAAGACGTTTAAGAGGTATAATTTTTAATATATTATAAATAATATTTATACTAGGCTTAAGAATGATTTTGTTTCATATAAATAATAGCTTTTGTACATCATTTTTGAACTCATCTCCATATGTATATATTCGTGTGTAATTGTACGTAAAAATGGATGAGAATAATATATTGATTAGAAGAGGATGTTATAAACGATATTTACAAGATGACGATGTACCAGTGCCCGAATCAACAATTCGTTCTCGTAGACGACGAGAACAGATGCCATTACAACAGGTCAGTATATTATAAAATGTAAAGGAAAGAGAAATTATAAATATATGTATTATTTATAATATATTAAAAAATCCTTTAATTCTTATTTATTTGCAATAGAATGTATATTTCTTTATTTATTTAGGAACAAGAAATTAATGTTGATGATTCTATGATATCGAGACAACCATTTGTGAGTTCTAATGACAACACACATACCATTGCTGCTGAAGACATTTCGGAAGATAGTGATTCAAATATAAATGGTCCAATATCTGGCAATCCAGAAAATAAGAATGATACAGTGAGTGTAATCATTGAATCAAATTTCAATCTTTCGGATGAGATCTCAGCATGTTCGAGCGAATCTGATGTTGTGATCGCCAATGATGACGCATCGGATTTGGAAGAAGATATAGTTCAAGACTATGATGAATTCTTAGATGAGTCTGCAGAGAATGTAGCATTTGTGCCACCAGAGAACAATGATCAGGTACAGGATTCGAGTAAATTGAGATGAGTTATTTTAATTGAGATAAATTTTTCTGATGTAAATAAAGCTTTGCAGTAAAAAATCTGTCACAAATTGCATCAAAAGATGTCAAGGATAGATATATTCAGACTCTCTAAAAAATTATGTGTGCGCTATAGATCTTAATTACTTACATTTAAGAATAACTTCAAATATAAAAAAATAATAATCGAATCCATATTCAATTTACAGGAACGAGTCCCATTATATGAACAATCGAATATATCCAAGATAGAAAGTGAACTCCTCATATTAAACTTTGCGATACGACACAATCTAACTGATGTTGCTCTTGAGGACCTCATCACTTTGATAAACTGTCACCTACCATACTCAGTATACCACACGAAGTATATATTTATGAAGAAATATGATATTCCAGCATCAATTCGTAAATGCTATTATTGTCCAGAGTGTTATGTAAGATTGAAAACTAGTGCAGATGATAGAGCAAAAGAAAACCTTGTTTGCCAAGAGTGCCAATGTAGATATGATAAACATACGTTGAGAAAAAGTGGTAACTATTTCCTATATTTACCTTTAAAACAGCAGTTGCGCGACTTTGTAAACAGCGACAAATATGCTTTGCTTCAAAAAGGAAACGATAATTATTCTGATATAACTTCTGTGAAAGTGTATACATTTAAAAGATTCTGGGATAATTCAATTACATGATATCACGCTGCAGATCAGTTCTGACGGAGTTCAAGTGTTTCATTCATCGTCTGTATCTATGTGGCCTATACAGGTGATGATAAATGAATTGTATAGAGAAAGGAAAAAAATATGATGTTGTGTGTTTGTGGTATGGTAAAGAAAAACCTGATATGAATTTGTTTTTGTCTTTACTCGTCGATTTGATCTCATTGCATGAAGTAGGATTAAAACGTGAGGCGAAGAAGAAATTCATATTAGAGTGAAAGAGATCGAAAGTGGAAAAGAGGAGGAAAAGAGAAGATAGAAGAATTAATAGAAAGAATAGGAGTAAAGGCAGGGATAAAAAGAGTAAAAAAGGTAGGAAATCCAAATAAAGAAGGAAACAAATATTGCTAGTAACTCTAGACAGCTGGAAGCAGAAAAAAGAGATCCTAGAAAACAAGAGAAGACTGAAGGGGAGGAAGAAAATAATTGAGGATGACATCTCATGGGAAGAAAGAAGAACAAGATGGAACTTGAGGGAGATTGCAAGAAGAGAAAGAAGCAAAGGTAAAAATGTATGGATAGGGAGAGGAAAGATGAATATAGAAGAAAAATGGTGGTTCTGGAACGAAGAAAAGAAGAAGTTGGAAAATGAAAAGGGGGAAAAGGAAAAGGAAGAAGAGTTGGGAAACGGGAAATAAAGGAAAGGAGTGAAGGGGAGAAGGGGAAAATCAAAAGAGAAGAGAGAGGACTAAGTGAAGAGAGAGAGAGGCAGAAAATGAAGAGGATCGAAGTGAGGAAGAGGAAGATCAAGGAGAGGGGGGGGTAGAGGAAGGGAGAGAGAAGGATAGGAAAAAATTCAAAGGTTGGAAAATTGCATTTTGGACGTGGCGGGGATGATAAAAAAAGATACGGAATTTTGGAAAGAGATTAAGGAATGGGATGTAATGGTATTCATAGAAACATGGCTAGACAAGAAGGGGTGGGATAATGTTAGATATAAGCTGCCAGAAAATTTTATATGGGAAGTGCAATACGCGAGAAGAAAGAATAAAAAAGGAAGAGCGATGGGAGGAATGGTGATGGGAGTAAAAAAGGATTTGAGAAAAAAAAAGGGGAAGCAATAGAGACGGGAAAAGAGGGAATAATTGAGGGCAAGATTAGTTTAGGAGGGGAAAAATGGCGTATAGTTGGAGTATATGTTAATGGAGATCTAGAGAATAAATTGAATAGTATAAAAGCATGGATGGAAAGAGAGAGAAGAATGAGGAGAGAATAATAATAGGAGGGGATTTCAATGCAAGAATGGGGGAGGAAGGAGGATGGTGGAAAGAGGAAGAGGAAGAAGAAGAAGAGTATAAAAGAAATAGAATTTCAAAGGACAAAAAGGTAAATAAGGAAGGAAAGATACTGAAAAATTTCTTGGGAGAAAGAGGCTGGGGAGTACTGAATGGAGGAGGAAAGGGAGATGAGGAGGGAGAGTATACATATACAGGGGCAAGAGGAAATTCTGTGATAGACTATATAATAGTTTCAAGAGAAACAAAGGAAAAGATTGAGAGAATGGAAGTAGGAGATAAGGTGGATTCAGATCACCATCCGATAGTTGCATGGATAGAAGGAGAAACGGAAGAAAAGAAGGAGAAAAGACAAAAAAAGGAAAGGAGAGGAATTTGGGACGAGGAAAGAAGAAAGAAATTTAAGGAGAAACTAGGGGAGATTAAGGAAGAGGAGAGAGAGATGCAAGATGAGATCGAGAGTATAAACAAAAGAATAAGAAAGGCTTTGGAGATGGGGGTGGAGACAAGTGAAAGAAAAGAAAAGAAGAGTAGAGAATGGTGGAATACAGACTGCGCAAAAATGAAAAAGACAATGAGAAAAAGCCTAAGAAAATGGAGAAAGGGAAAAGGAGAGGAAGAGGAATATAAAGAACTAAAGAAAGCATTCAGGGAAAAATGCGAGGAGAGGAAAAAAGAGGAAGAGGAAAGATTAATAAGGGAAATAGGAGAAGCAAGAACAGACAAACAGGTATGGGAAATAGTGAATAGAGAAAGGAGGAAAAGAAAGAAAGTAAATGAGGAGATAGAAGAAGAAGGATGGAGGGAATAATTTATGAATATCCTAGGAGGAGTGGAGCAGAAGGTTATAAATGGGGCAGGAAAAGAAGGAAGAAAGGAAGAAGGAAGAGAAATAGGAAAAGAGGAGGTGAGAAAGGTGATAAGCAAAATGAAAGACAACAAAGCAATGGGAAAAGATGGAATTCCAAATGAAGTCTGGAAATATGGAGGGGAAGAAATAGAAAAGTGGGTAAGAGGAATATGCGAGAGTATGGAGAGGAGAAGGATGGCCAGAAGGGTGGAAGGATGGAGTAATCGTGCCGATAAGGAAAAAGGAGAAGGAAAAAAAAGTAGAAGATTACAGAGGAGTGACACTGATGCCGACACTATATAAAATATACGTATCAATAATAACAGACAGGTTAACAGAAGAGGTCGAAAGAAAGGGAAAGCTACCGAAGAACCAGATGGGATTCAGGAAGGGGAAAAGGAGTGATGGACAATGTATACGTATTAAACTACCTAGTACAAAGACAGCTTGGAAAACAAAAAGGAAAATTGATAGCATGCTTTGTGGATTTGAAGGCGGCGTTCGACTCTGTAGACAGAAAAACGCTAATAAAAGCATTGAAGGAAAGAGAAATAGGAGAGGATTTAATAGAAAGAATAGAGGAAGTATTAAGAGAAACAAGAAGTGGGGTAAAAGTAGGGGGAAAAATAGGGAAGGAATTTTGGATGGCAAAAGGGGTAAGACAGGGATGCCCGCTGAGCCCGATGCTGTTCAACCTACTAATGGCTGACCTGGAGGAAGAATTGAGAAAAGGGGAATGGGGAGGAGTAAAACTAGAAAAGAACAAAATATACTCGTTAGCGTACGCAGATGACGTAGTGATTCTAGCAGAGGAGGAACAAGAAATGAGGGCAATGTTAGGAAAAATGGAACAATATATGGGAAAAAAGAAACTAGAATTGAATACGGATAAAACGAAGGTAATGGGATTTAAAAAGGGAGGGGGCAGAAGTAAGAAAACAAGTTGGAGATGAGAAGGAAAAAAGATAGAAGAAGTAAAAGCGTTCAAATACTTAGGATACACACTACAGAGAAACGGCAAACAGGAAGAGCACATAAAGGACAGAATCAGAAAGGCAATGGGAGTTGCAGGAAGCGTATGGAGGATTGGAAAAAGGAAATTCGGAAGGAATATAAAGAGACGAATATGGCTGTTCGACACATTGATCTGGACGGTGTTGGGATACGGAGCGGAAATATGGGGATGGGGGAACAGAAAGGAGATAGAAAAGATAGAAGAAAGATACTTGAGATGGGTGATAGGAGTAGACTGGAGAACACCAGAATACCTAGTAAGAGAGGAAATGCAAAGAGATAAACTAAGAGAAAGGGCAGCAAGAAGAGCATGGAATTTTGAAAAAAGATTAGAAGAAGGAAAAGGAGGGGGGCTAGCCAAAAGATGCTTAGAAGAGATAAAAAAGAGAGCAGAGGAGGACAGGAGGCTAACAGAATGGGAAAAAGAAAGAAAAAGCTTCTTCAAAGAGAGAGGTGCTTGGAAAGAGGGGATAGCATGGAAGAGAAAAAGAGGGAATGGTAGAGTTTAAGGTAGTAGAAGGAAAAGAAAAGGAAATACAAAGAAGAGAAAGATGGCAGAAGATAAGGGAATCTAAATACAATAAATGGTACAAGATGATAAAAGGAGAAGGAATCCCAAAATACCTAAAGAAAGGATGGTCGGAAGAGAGATGGAGGAGACTAGCAAGATATAGGTTAGGGAATGAATTAAAAGAGAGCAACTATTGGGAGGAGGAAGAAAAAAGAAAATGCAGAGTATGTGGAGGAGAGGAGGAGACATGGGAGCATGTGATAGAAAGGTGCAGAAGGGGAGAAGAGGGGAACAGGGAGAGCTGGCAGGAAAAGATGGAGAAAATTCTGGGGAAAGAGGGAGAAGGAGAAGAATGGCTGTTAGAGATGGAAGGGTGTGAAGAGGGAGGAAAGAGAGAGGGAGGTGAAAGAAAGGGAGAGGGAAGGAGAAGAAGAAGGTGAGAGAGAGAGAATGAGAGAGAGAGAGGAGTGTGAGTGAGAGAGAGAGGGAGAAGGGTGAGTATGAGGGGAGAGAAAAGTAACAGAGAGTAAGAAGCAAAGCATAAACCGGAAGCGAAGGTCCAAAAAATAGAAATAAACAATAAGCGGTATTTAGTAATATAAGAAATAGTAGCATAAGACAAGTAGGATAAGAAATAGTATAAGAAAGATAGGATAATAATGGTATAAGAAATAGTGTAAAGCAGATAAGTAGGCGATGTATGTGTGTGCGGCGTAGGGTTAATTTTAAGAAAATTTTGTATGGAAAATTGTAACCCAAATTGGGAACAATAAAGAAATATCTAATCTAATCTATAGATCCGAAAGTCGCTGAATCGGGTTCGATTTCGATTCAGCAACTTTCGGATCTATATTTTTCTCTCGCATTTATTTCCTTAGGGAAGAACAGGGGATGTATGGAATTAAATCTCTTGTAGAGATTATTTCAATTTTAAAATCTTGGCCGTGACCAAGTAAAATTTGGTGCCTTGTGCACAGATATTTAATTCTAACAAAAAAAATTAGAATAAATTTGATAAAAGGCTATTAAGAGCAGTAAATATAAAAATTTAAATTATGTTTGAAAGTGAAGTCATATATAAAAATAATATTCTTTAATCTAATGTCTAATAATGAATTACAATAAAAGGTGACAAAAATGAATTAAACATAAGTACTCTTTAAATACAAATACAAAGCGAACGTTTCGGTCAATATTTTGACCATTATCAACGCTGATTAAATTCTGAATTTAAAAACTAATAAACGGAGTCATAACGGTAACATATACATCAAGCATAATCAAAAACGTCATAGAGTATGTAACGCATTAAAAATACAATGATAGATATAATGATTAACAAATATTATGGTAAGAGAAAAAGAGAACATTATGTAAAAATGAAAAGCGATATTCCTCCAACATAGTCATAATGTGATAGTTAAAATTCGTTAATTGTGTTTCTACTCCGGTTATTAGACTCGATAGACACATAATGATTTGAATCCTATAACGTTATTAAATAGTTATTGATTTATTTAAGCTTAATAGGTTGTACGAAAACGAAGGTGTTTATAGACTTACATATAATTAGATTGCAACGTAAAACAGTAGTGTAGGAGAAACATCGATTCCTGAGATCCACACACTTACAATGTCACAGACAAAGTGATCGAAAGGTGAAAATGAGCGGTGTTAACTTATTATATTTGTGTATCTATTTTCAGAATTTCGGTAGTTTATCAATACTGTTTATATATGTATCAGGTAAACATTCTGTGTTATTTGCAAGTTCAAACTATTTGTTTGTCTTTTAATATAAATCATCTAAGAGATTAATCTTTTTCGAAGAAATTTTCTTTATCAAGAATTTTTATTTCATTCCATTTAAATTCGTGGTTGAAATTGAACCTATGGTTAGTTATAACAGATTTATTCGTTGTATTCTTATTAATGTCAAGTTTATGTTCCGAAATCCTAGTACTTAATTTACGTCCAGTTTGGCCACATATGATGCATTACAGTCTGCACATTCAATTCTATAAACAACATTGGTATTGGAAAAAATTGGAACTTTAATCTTTATGCACTTTAATGTGTTTGTTTAACTTCTTTAAACTGAAGTAGGAGAGTTTTGTATTAAGATTCCTTGTGATATTTTAAATTGTTCAGATATGGTTAGTAAATATGGAATGGTAAAGTATGAATTAGGTGATTTTAGAGTAGAAATACTATTGTTAATAATGTTGTTGGTTTTATTGATCAGTAATTTTAAACGATGATTTATGGTTTGAAAAATTAATTTAGTAGGGTAGCCATTATTAATAATATATCAATTATCAACTTTAAGTTCTTGATATGGAAAATTGGGTGCGATAATAAAATGCTTTGTCAACCAACCAAAAAAATTTAGTTTCGTTGGGATAATGCACTGTCATCCGCGATTTGGCTCTTATTGCCTGTCTTACACTTTAAATTTATATTTATATTACAGAGCCTTGTTAAACTCTTAAAGTATAAATAATTTATAATCTATCCGAAAACCTATCCAAGAAGCTTTTAAAACGACCTACAATAGAATTCCTTTAGAGCACTATTTAAGATTTGTAACGGTGCACCTTTTCCGACGCCGCGGATCGGCTCGCCGGTTCTAGAATTTGGGAGAAGGGGGAGACTCAGACTCGCTTATTTCTTTACAAAAATGCTTTATTAAAAATAAAAAGTAGAGTGTCCGCTGAGGACTTACAGGCCACCCTGCGGGTGATACAGATTGAGGCTATATGACGCGAAAGAAAATATATTTATATTTTGCTCCGAAAGAACGTACTGCTAATTACGTTGTATATAGCCTATAACGGTGTCCGGAAGGGACTTACAAGTCGCCTAATATGCCCGATGCAGGAAGAACGAGGTATTCCGAAAACCGGGGAACCCAGCCTAACGACGGGAAGCCCGTCGCTTGGAGACTAGCAGGAAGAACCGGAAACCGTGAAATCCGGCCTAACGACGAGAAGCCCGTCGCCCAGTTTGTAGCAGGAAGAGACCAGAAACTGGGAAACCCGTTGCCCGATGCAAACGGAAGGAACCAGAAACCGAGAAGCCCGACCTAACAGCGAGAAGCCCGCTGCCTGATATAGGAATCTGGAGTACGGGACTGGTGCCGGCTCATCCGCCGAGCCGACTTATATACCCGGCCGACGGCATTCCACCATGCGTCGGGCGCATGGCGGGGGTAGCGTCGATAGCGTAACGGCGCAGTAATGAGGCGCCCCCGGAGTGGGGCAGCCCGTGTATGGCGTTTAGGGGAGCGCCTTAGGCGTCAGAGCCTCATGTGGCAGGCGGATGATCGGCCCGCGAGGCGATAGTAACGGCTATGCCGTTACAGATTTACATTATAAATTTTTATGGAGTACAAAAAGAATTACCCTTATAGTTTGATAAAGGACTCGGAAGTGGT